TACAAATTATATCAGTAAGGAAGCTGACTAAATATTAACTGATAATTTATGGCAAAGGGGTGGGATTAAATAAGTGTTTACTTCTTCCCACTCCCTTTCAACATGTAAATTAATCAGAACGGTTTTTTTGTATGTAATTTGTATAGTATTTTTTATCTCTCTTATTTTCTTTTCTAAATGTACTTGTATATTGTACACATGTTGAAATAAATTACCAATCAAATCAATCAATTATTTGTCTTTCCTGAAGTTTGCTCTTAAACTTAAGATCTACTCTCCCAGAATGGAATTAAGCTGCTTCTGCTGAGCTCTGCCGAGAATCAATAAAGCAATGGTCGGGACTTCCAGTCAATCAATCAATAAATAAATTAAAACACGATTATAGAAATCAAAATCTTATTTGGTTTTCATATATCCTATTTTCAGTGATATCAACTTTAATAGCAGAAAATTAACTAGGCATATAATTATTTTTTCTCTCTTTTTTGCCATATTTTTCAAGTATCCTTCGTGAAGCCTGGAGAACTATTCCTGAAGACTATTCAAAGAAATTACATGAAAGTTGCCCAAGAGAGTTATGGCTAAAGAATAAAGGTGATCATACACACTTCGGTTTTGCCTTAAATACTGTCTGTATAATTTCCTTTCCCATTTTCCTATCAAATTTCTAAAGAAATGAGCGGCAGCCCAGGACTTTTGCACAGCACTGTAAATATAAAATTGAGTTATTTGTATTAACTATTACAAAAGATTGATATTAAGATGTAAGTTTCAGCTTCAGGTTTAATTAGCATACATCGTTAACTAAGATTTTGATGTAAATCAGGTTTTAAAAGGTGTCCGGAAAAAATCAATACATTTTAAATGGTGTTTGGAACTAAATGTGACAGAAATATTGCCGTTATTTCAGCATGCTCCAGTTTAAAGAGCAACACGTGTGTTATACGTGGCTAAGTACCATGTTCCAACCTTTCACCTAGTGCAAGGTAAATGCATCGACTGTCTCACTAGATCCAAGTCACTTCTCACTTTAGATGCTGAGCTTACACCGTTTTTCTTCTACATGGAACAAACTATATATTCAACAGTATTTTTGCTACCAAGGAGCCACTGCAGTGTGATTCCTGCCCCATTAGACAACAGCTATTTATTTAGCCAGTTAGCTGTCACCAGACACATGTGTTCCTATTTCCAGCTGAAAACAAACTGAAAACACCTGTTCACTGGCTGTAAACGTGGCATTACAACTTAAATGAAACAATGAAATGAAACAAATGAAATAGCATTACAACTTAAAGGCCGGTTACCTGAGGCTGTGTTCAGAAGTTTGACCTCATGAGTTCTGAACATCCAGCCGTCTCTTCCCAGGACACAACCCAAAATATACCGCACCCTTCTCGCAGCAACAGCCGCAGCTGTGCCGCCACATAAAATTTGGGAGTGCATGTTCAAAATGTCTACGTTATCATACAAAACCTAACAATGAAAAAAATTAGCAGGCTGTCTTTTAAAACGGTCTGACCCGCGGCCTTATTCCCATTTCACAACAAGCGTCAGCTCATTTTTTCGGAGTCGGAAAAAAATAACAGAAGGACCAAATGGTCCGACAAACAAGTCTTCCGTGGGAATACCATTTTAGTTGAAAAGTGTTCCGTTCGCGCAGATAATTTTTGCAATATTACTAAGATTCTGTTGTTAAAAAAAAAACATAGTTTTGTTTAGTAATATTTTAGGTTATTAATTTGGCACGTGGTTGTTGCAACTGGCTTTGGCTAATAAAGAAGGCTACAAATATTGTTTATTGAAAATAACATTTTTTTGTCTTTTGGAATATGTTATGCCCAAATAACTCTTTACAATATATTCTGATTTTAGTTGCTTTATTTATCTGAATCTATTCATTTATTTGCTGATTCTGCTGTCCCCTCTTCAAATAAAATCCATTCTTGGATTCAGGTTTTTAAAGTAGAAGTGGACATAACAAATAAACACATGCTGAACCATCTAACAAGGTAAATACCGATTTACCTTGGTGATGTTAGGTGGTAAATCCTGCATGATTAACCATGCAACTCCTCCAACTCTCTAAACGTAAATTTTAAGAAATCACTGTTAAACATTATAGAAAGTTCTGGAAGTTCATTGTCGAGATTATCCCGTAGTTATAACCATTTTTATTAACTCACAGAAATGTCCTTTTTTAATTTATTTATTTTACTGTGGATGCATTGTATTAAAAAAACAAAACAACAACATTAAAGTAGATAGTGAAAAAACAGGATCTTTTCTCTCATTTAATTATATTTTTTTTCTCTTTCTTCATTACTGTGCTGTAATATGAATGGCTTGGGGAAGATCTTTATCAGGAGGACAAGCTTTAAAGTGTACCAAAATAGAGTTGAAAGTACTAAATTTATCCCCTCCTTCACATTTTCCATAGACTGCAAATGGGACGGATTGGAGTCTTTGCTGTCCAATTCTGGCCCCCCGGGCCTTATGTTTGAAAGCCTAGAATTAGATTATCAATATAGCATATTTAGAAACAAAACTTTACAGAAAACACAACAATAACAATATTATGACAGAACAAAATTGATTTCTTCATATTTACAAAGTGTATTTGCAAAGTGCAGTGGCTAACACATTCGTCTTACATGCAAAAGATCTCTATTGACACCGGGAGGAGATAGAAACCCAGCCTCAGAGAGTCTCAAGCTAGTGCACTCCTTCTGTGCCAAATCAAACACGTGGCAACCCCTTGGGAGATAAGGAAACAGCCAAAGCACCTCTTTATATTTACAAAGCAAAGCACTGGCCGAAGGTGTGGCGAAGGGCAAGGGTGGCACCAGCGCCATGTGAAATATTCAATTCAATTCAATTCAATCTTTACGTCCATATTTTTTTTAAAAAAAAAAACAACAATAACACAACATATAAACCATAATAAAAATGATAAAATCTTTTTAAAAATATAAAACCATAATATACATAAAAACACAGTTACTTAAAAAGAAATCAATAAATACACAAACAACCAGTCCTTCCTCATGCTGGGTGAGACTGCTGGGATGACATGCTGGGAACCACTCACTGTCTGATCTGTGAGTGCTAAAATTATACTCTTACTAGAACCATCCAGTCGTTCTCTAAAAGTAAACATTAACTTTCTTAAAAGTGCTTTAAAAGTGCAAACACCCACAGCTACAAATATCCGACTGCATGTTATATGATGGCCCATCTTTCACATCTCCACGTAGCTGGACTGGCCATCGGGCATACAGGGCATTTGCCCGGTTGGCCGATGGTGATTTTTCGTTTTTATGGGCCGATGGGTTTTACTCTGATGTTTAGTGGTGGCTATGGCGGAGCTTCTACAGAGGCTAGCAGGTGGATGAGGGAAAGGGAAGGAAGGAGGAGGAGAGACCCGTGGTGGCCGCTGGGTCGGCCGCGTTTGGTATTGGGCTGAAAAGGAACGCGATCTGTCCCGTACTTCAGCTAGAATAAAAAAAAAAAGACACAAAGCTGGAGTTATTCTGTGTCTTTAGGCTGTCAGCTGCCTCTACTTCTCTCATTCTCTCTCCCTTTCTCTGCTGTTGCTACTTCAGTCAAGAAACTGGCTTTTCTTTCTTGTTTGTTTATCTCCCACTTCGTGCCAGAAAGAGGAAACCAGCAGTGGTTGCGCTAAACAACAGCAGCACGTTTAACCTTGATCAGCTGTTGTTAGAATTTATTAAATATTACTTTCTAGTATCAGCTGATGTTTGCTGGAGACACATCCGTAAAAGCTGCTGGTCATGATATCAGTTTGGATATGTGGTGAGAGGGAAACATGAAGATAAAACCAGGAGATATCCTTACTGAATCATCAGAGCTGAACAAGTGATGGAGAAACAGGTTTACCTTTTAGGTGACATGGATGAGTTGAAGGGAAGTTATGAACTGTTTCTGAGAGACAAATAACACCAGGATCATTTTTTAGTAGCTGACAGCTGGTAACTGTGCAGGGGCGGGTCTAGCAAAGTTTTGCCAGGGGGCCAGGTAGGGCATTAACAGGGAAAAGTGGGCATAAAGAAATACTTTACTTTCTTATATTCATTTAAAATGTCTAGCTTTTAACAAATAATTATCTGAATCTTACGACCAAAGTTTTTATCAGATGTAAAATGTATAGAAATCATACCTATACCAACAAGACAGTGTACATTAGTGTCACAACAGCATTTTGCTTTTATTTTATTTTTTACCTGGTGGGCGGGTCTCGAGTCAAAATGCCCGGGCCGATTTTTTGTCCCAGTCCAGCCCTGCATCTGCACCATTACTTCAGTACAATTATGACCTTCCTCTAGGTAAAGTACATAATTTACCCTTTGTACTTGTAAGTAATGCTTTCAAAAAAATTCCGAAATATTCTGAATTCCTCTTGGAGTTGTTGTAGGTACTCCCTCTGTAACACTGTAGTGTGTATGGTCCAGGTTACATATTTATTCTTCCTATGAAACTTAACAATGCTTTCCATAAAGCAACCTACAACATTATCATCAAACTAACGTCAAACGAAGTGTTCGGAGCTGCCAGAGAGTAACTGGAGGGGCGTGGGTTTTACTGGACTGAAATGACACGAAGAGTGGGGGAAAATCTGAGAACACTGAGAAAAAAAATCTATGCTAACTAAATCCGGACCGGCAATGATTATAGATGACGTCATTGAAACTACCCTCACAATTGTGCTCACACGTGCACACAGTTGGATTACACACATTCGCGCCCCCCCCC